CATATATTAATTCAAGCCTTGGCCTTGCCCCTGTTGTTCATGATCCATCGTATCTGAGAATGATATATTGAGTTTTCAGACGACCACCAATTTTGTCTAAACCAATTTGAATTGTTTTGCAGTCTGGCTGTTGCAAGCCACCGTCCTACTGCGGGTTCAAGTTCAAGAACGCCACATTCTGGATAGTCCCTGAAGCAGGGCCGGCAGTCCCCGACAGCGACTGCACCACCTGGAGCAACAATCAAAATACTCTATGCTACGACTGCAAATCCTGCAAGGGCGGAATTCTGGTCAACATCCGCAAGGAATGGAGGCGTCTTGCCATTTTCAACTCTTGTGCCCTCATAGTCATCACTATCATCTATTGCATCGGCTGCTGCGCCACCAGAAACAACCATAAGTATAACAGATACAATGCCTATCCTTAAATATTCTTCATGCTTCCTTCATTACCCTGTCTGTAGATTTATATGGTCACAACAACACACACATGCCCAAATGATATAGCTCTGTATAATTCTATTCTCTGAAAAAGTGATGTTTGTTGATGGATGTTTTTGGTGCCTTCTACTTGTATCACATACACATATGGCCTGTTCAGAATTTTCTTGATCGTCTGTAATTAAAGGCTATATATACAAAAGTTCTGCAGCTATCAAGTCTTTCCTATCTTGTTTTCTTTCTGTCTACAGTAATTATACCTGAATTCTAACCTGGTCTTGAATTATTCGATGTTCTGGTTAGTGGGAAGAGGTTGAATGAATCTTAATATGATGCTATTTCTACCTTTTCACCATTATCAACCCGAAAAATACAGCAAGCAGTAACTGTGGCCAGATACAAAGACTAAATCAAATCAAGAATTACAGCATGAATAACCAAGATTTTAATCAGCACCAGGAAGCAATTTTTGACCAGATGTTGTCAGTGACGTCGTCCCGAAACGTTTGGTTGCGGCGGGGATGACTCGGGACGGAGAAAGGATCTCTGCAAATGAGAACTTATATGTATCTGTCCCTAACCGACTCTGTAACCAACCTTTGCTACCTAAAAACCCATCTGTTACAATCCAGGAGTTCTTGAAGCCAAGCCTTGTCAGTGCTTTTGCAACTGCTTTTCCCGAGTCTGAGTACCTGAATTTCCATGAAATTTAATGAACAAATGAAGTAGATCAAAGAAATATTTGAGTCAGGCAAGATTACTCACGAGCCCAAGATCACTACATTGGAGCCTTTGTTAAGTTTCTTGAGATATGATATCTTGATGGCTGAAAGTTCAGCTTCTAGCTTCTTTACATTTCGGACAATGCCCCGCAACTTGCTCGGTAATTCTTCCAATCTGAAACAATTTGATGCAAATGCTGCTGATAAGGTGCCCCCATATGGAATTTATGAAAAATGCAAGCTTGTTTGACTTACGGAATGGCAATCAACTGGTTCTTAGCACTAGATGGAAGGCGAGGAATGCCAGACTTATCCTTGTCTTTCTCGGATCGTATATCGATCAGAACGTAATTGCTCGACGAAATTAGCTCAAGTGTTTGAGCAGGAGAGAGCTCACCTGGTCAAGAATCAAGATACAGAATTATACCACCAATCAGACTAAATCACTCTGTACAAACGAAACCTCCAAATCAAGAGGCATTTCCATAAAAGAGAGCAGATGCACCTTTGTAGCCACGAAAGCTGAAAGATATGGCCGACCAAATTGGAGGAAAGAGCAGGTATGCCACGGCTAAGGCTCCAGCAATTTCTGCAATTACAAGAGGGTCTGCTGTGGAGATTGTCTCGACAGTCGACGAGGCTATAGGCTTGGCACCCTCAATGACCTTCCCAGTTTGTTCCGCTGCACCTACTACTGTCTGCAACCATGAAAGTATTTGATATGTGAAGCTGGGTTTGATGAAAACAGTCGAACAAATACTAAAATCATCGAGTAGAGCAGACCCAGATTTGAACAGTCTACTGATTCTCAGCCATAATCTTCTTTCATGTATTAAACTGAGTTAATAGCGTCCAATTAAGAAGCACAGACCTTAGCAGCAGTTAGAACAGGCTGGGTGTCAATGCCAGAGCCCTGAAGTGCTTCGAGGGCTTTCTTTGAAGCCTCAGAAATTGTAGGAGAAGCAACCTTCAGCGCCTCTTCTCCAGCCTGCTTTACAATCGGCAGCGCCGCATCAACACCCGGCTTCAAAATAGTTCTAGCAGAGTCAATGAGCTGTTGTGCAATATCAAAGAAATTCGAACCCGCTTCTTGAACCTGATCAATCGTCTTCTCCACCTACCATTCCACAAAGCATTAAACAACTGTGAGAAATTCTTTGTTGAAAACCGACCATTTACCTGGAACAAAAGAATGATACTTACATCATTGAGAGATGAAACGATTTGGTCCTTATTGAGAGCCCTAGCTTCATAGGGAGAGGAAATTAGGGCTAACATCGAGAGGGTAGTGGACGCCGGTAAGCCAACGGAGATGGGACGGAATTGAGATTTGGAATCGGATCTTTGAGAGGACGAAGGCAGTGAAGGAAGTGAACGATGTGGGGTAACGGCGGAAGCTCTGACGGCCATCTTCATCGCCATTGTCGCTACCTCTGGATGACTGAAACAGAGCCACCAAACGTCGAGTGAAGAAGAAGAAGAAGAAGAAAAGAGGGATTGAGGTGCTGACCTGGCACAACACTGGATTTCAATTCGTGGCTCCAAATTCCCCAATTAAAATAATGATAATTCAATTATAAATCTTTTTAAATTTACTCTCAATTTAATATTTTAATTTTTTTAATTCTATTTTCAAAATTTCAATTTTAATTCTCTTATTTTCATTAAATCCTTTTAACCAATTAACTGGCGCTTCTCTTTGTTTGGCTTCAACAAGGAGCAGCAGAACACAAGAATCTTATATACATCTGTTGTATAAACATATATCTATATATATATATATATATATATATATTATATATATATATATATATACACTGAGAAGAAACTTCCTATGCAAAAGTGTCATATCTTTCTATGGTAAAGGATCTCATCAGCAGACTAATGGTTGTTGCTTTCTGGGATTTCTCTAAGATGCTTTGATGCTTTGAACCGAGCTGTGTAACCGACGGTTGTGTGTCGTAACGATCGTTGTCTCACTACTTGACAGTATTCTGGGTCGTTCGCGTGCCCATCGGCTTTTATCCATTGAATCATTTGATGATTCATTGGGAAGAATCGCATTTGGATTGATGCGTAGATGAAGTATGGGAGAAGGGAAGCTCCCAGAGCTAATAGTGTGAGGATCCAAAACGATGGCGCCGGGGCGCAGGCCTCGACGAAGACCTGAAATGCAGTGGTTGATATGGTTGGGTTCATAGCTCCATATGCCATAAGGAATAAGTACCAGAGAATGATGCTGCCCCAGATGAAGAGATGTTGAATGTATGTGAAGTAACTGATTGATAATGCCATTTGACAGTTTACAACCCAGACGACACAAGTGTACATGGTGACGCCCAGAATTTCCAACCCGACGACCTCTCCACTGCTGCGGAAAGCTTGATATTCGATTGCCCCGACACAAAAGAAGAAGATGATGATAGAACTTAGTAGCCCGTTGAACACCCAACCGATAACTCGAACCCAACTAAACAACACGTTTTGGACACCTTCTTGGTATAAAAGTGGGAACTGAAATGTTAAAACACAGGGCAATGAGGCCTTTGACATTGTACTTAAGGTAGCCAAAAGATTGCATCCATAAGACAATGGTTCGACGTTGGACTTACCTTGAGACAGTGCCGGGATGAGACGTCCTGGTCGAATACTCCCAATGCGATCACAGGGAGAGACGTAAAGAAGACGTTATACAGCGAAAGGAACCAGTCATCGAATACAGATTGGCCGGAGAATGATGCATACAGCTCAAAGAAGAAGAGAGTGAACCCAAAAACAATGTTCTTGTAGAAGAAGTAGCATATCTGCCACAAAGAAAACTCAGTCAGTTCGATATCTCAACTATTTTACTACGTTTCATCAAAGTCGAGACTCGATGTTTCAAGTCTAAGAAGCTAAAGTCGAGCTCTTTTTAAAGATCATATATTACCATGGAAGAGATTCTCCTGTAACACCAATGTCCATGCACAAGGAGCAGCCGTTCCAAATATCGAAACTGTGCTATGGCAATGTCGCTCGACATGACTGCCTGAAACTCAGAAGTTCAAAAGTATGAAACAAAGTTGTTTTGATCACATAGAACATAAAGTGGGGATCTGTTTCAAATTTACCTGCATCCCTTCTACACCGCTAATACCAATCCCGATATCCGCTTCTTGAAGCATCCCGACGTCGTTTGCACCATCACCGACTGCTAGAGTAGTGCTACCTGTTTCGACCTTAACCAATTGGGTAACCTGCATTTATGTAAGAAGCATTCTATTAGACTTCTGCTTCTTATTTCTTGATTTCACTGTCTGGAAAAGGGAAGAAGGTATGCTTACTTGTGCTTTCTGTTTAGGAGATGATCTGCAGCAGATAACTGAAGCACAGCCAATGGCAAGCTCCAGAAATAAGTTCTTCACATCGTCCTCCAGAGCGTAGGTGAGCGACTTTCCATCAATTATCAAAGCCAACGCTTCCGGGGTTTTGCTTGAAGATGCAAGTAATGCTTTTGCATCGGTTATTTGTCGAGTCACGCTTTCCTTAAACGCCTGAAAGTCAACCAAGTACTATCAGTTCCACAATCCTGTCGTCCACTTTGTGAACTTGGTTTGATTACCTTGATAGCTGCAGATTTGTGAACCTCTTCAACTTGGTCTAGAGCTTTTCCTTCAACAGTCTCTGAGCTGATAGTGATTTGCCTCATTCCTTGCCTAAGTAAACTACAAGCAAAGCTGAAGAAAGGGCGTTCGAGTTCAGGAACGAGAAGCAGGTTAGCACACCGAACATCAACAAGAACTAGTACTCGAAAACTCTAATAGATTATGCTTACCCAATGTTGATGGCTGTTTCCATTTTATCACCAGTCAGCACCCATATTTTTATACCAGCCTGAGCAAGCTTGTCAATGCATTCAGGGACCTAACAAAACAAAACAAAACAAAACAAACAATAACCTGTCAGTTCTTCCTCTTCGTGATATGAGTTTATACTATTCCAGAACTTAATTCATACCCCATTTTGAAGTTTATCTTCAACTGCTGTAGCACCAAGAAGAATCAAATCTTTCTCGATGCTTTCTGTTAACTGATCGATGGTGTCGTCACGATCCGTGCTCACTGTGTTCTTGGCTTTTATGAATTCTTGATGAAATTTATTAAACTCCTCCTGTTTCAGCTCACGGTACGCTAGAACCAAAGTTCTTAAACCGGCATCGGCGTACTCATTGATATGCACCTTTGTCTGTTCTTCAAACTCACTTCCATTCTTTGCAAGTCTTTCAAACATAACACTGCATTTCAAGGTAAAGGGTATATGAGAAAACATGTCTTTGCCATAAAGAACATAGATCGGTCCTTTAAGTTCACCCACCTGTCAGCTCCTTTACAGAGTAGTAGTAGCTGTCCCTGTGCATCTCTTACAATCACAGACATCCGTTTTCTTGTGCTATTAAACTCCAAAACATCCAGGAGTTGATATGATCTGCAAAACATAGCCATAACTTCAATGGTGATTGATCCAAAGACTACTCCAAGCTGCAACAGGTAAAAATATGAACTGACCTTTCGACTTTTCGGGCCGAGGTTGGATCGAACTCCCGCAACGAAATGCTTGTCTGAGTCCGTTCATAGAACTCGAATCCAAATTCTCTGGCTGCAATCACAAAAGCTGCCTCATCTGGTGATTCAGCTTCATATGAAATGTTACCAGTTTCCTCATCAATTTCTGGCAATGCAGTATGACAGATAGCAAGAAGCTGTAGGAACTTCTGGATTACATCGGCTCGAGGCTCGTTCACCCAATTACCATCCATTATTCTTTCGTCCTTGAAATTGAACCCCTTAATGAACGCTTTTTCGCTGCTAAGACGTGCAATGTTGGCCTCTAAATTTTCAGGTAAAGTTGATTCCTTTCGTCTTGCAAGAGCTCTCTCTATTTCTGTAATTCCTCGTCCGTAAGCAGTCCCGCCCACCGAACACTTGATGAACTCCATTGAATTGCAGGTCAATGTCCCGGTTTTATCAGAAAGAATGGTGTCAACTTGGCCAAGCTCTTCATTCAAATTCGAGGTACGGGCACGAGCTGGCTTATCAGTTTCCTCATGGTACATGTGAAGATCTTGGTTGATGAAGACACTCTGCAGAACTTTGACAATTTCAATGGACACATACAATGATATGGGAATCAAATAGCTAAAAAGCATCAGAGCTGTCAAAAACTGCAATATTGCCGCAGCTGGAGCATTTTTGGGATCGTAATATATTGTCGTATCGTCTGGCCTAAGGTACCATCTCGTAGGTCTTCCGTTTTCTATATCGTCCCTAGTCGAAACTCCGAAAAAAATCGACCCAGCAATTGATATCAAAACCAAAACAGCAAACAGGAAGAACACAATCTTATCCATCCTCTTCTCAATCTTGCTTCTCTTGGAAGGAGGAGCTGTTGAGTTCTGAATAACCTTCGTATCATGACCCGTGAAGATCACGACCCCATATATAAAATCTGTGTTCCGCAGCTTCGAGTCACGAAGAAGAAGCTGCTGAGGACTGAGGGGGTGTTGCTGTTCTTCAAGCTCCATACTTCCCACAAAGGAATACAAATTTGCATTGGGGTCTTCACATTTTATTACAGCCTTGAAATTCTTAAAGCTCGAATCCTCGTGGAAGTTCGAGCTTGCTTCTAATGCATTCTTTAGCTTCAAATTCGTTTCGCCATCAAGATTCATCGTCTCGACATAGCAAATCGCTTCCTCGTAACTCGACGACAGTAAAATGAGATCAGCAGGGAAGAATTCATCCTTCTCCACCTTAACCACGTCCCCAACTTTCAAGTCCATCCATTTAGTCTCAACAAACTCACCCTCTTGAATATGTACTTTCACTATCCTGTTATTCATCTCCATGTCCTGAAAACAATATCCACATAAACACAAAAACAGTCATGCCACTGCAGATTTCAGATCAAAAACGGATATGATTTCATAAACAAGCAGTAGTTCTAAGCTCAATTTGTACCTGTTTGGTTCGCCTCCAATCTTCAACACCCTCTTTGCCCATGGTGACACCAATAACAAGAAGAAGAGGAAGAACATTACTGATGGGCGAATAAGGCGAGAGAGGGCTAAAGGCAAGCAGAGCACAAAGGAGGAAATACAAATTGGCAACCCTTCTGAATTGCTCAAACAAGGATCTGGGGAAGAATGAAGCAATAGTATACTTTGAAGTTTTGACATAATTGCCTCCATAGTTGAGAAGACTCGCCTCAAAACCATCTGGATCGTTACAGTAAACTACCCTTGAGAACCCTGGCCCTCCAATTAATGACTGTTCATCTTTGAATGATGCTCTACCACAAGGAAAGGCATGAATCCTTCTGAAATGCTGCTTCCTTCGTCTTCTACCACCGCCCATTTCTAAGCCAACACCAAAAACAGCTCTCTTATTCCAGAAATGGGGTCTTAAAAGACGATCAACTTGGAAATAAGGAGCCCAGAAATCAGAAACCCCCAAAAGGCAGATTCTATGAAACAGAGCAGTTTATACTGTTCAAAGCTTCCTCCCTTTCATTTAGAAGCCCCCGGATTTGACCAACACAGGAGATGGGGTTTTACAAAACAAAACGCTGCTTCAACAAAACGAAGGTGGATTTTAAATGAAACCCTGAAAGGTAAAAACAAAGCCAACCCACAATGGGATATTGAAAACTCCACCATTTTGTCGCTCGAGCTGGAATCTCACGTCAACGGCAAAACCAAAGACTACCCACTGGAGAGGAAACCTATCCGACAGCGTTGACCAAGACATTTCCCCTTCTTCAAGTCAATAAATTTTGATCTCAGCTCAAAAGGGTACAAAATTTGCAGAATCAACAACAATAAAAATCTGGGTTTCGCGTGAAGGGCTCTGTTTTAACTTTCCAAGCTTCTTTATGAGGTGAAACTGGAAGCGATCTTCCAGATAATGAATGAACTTCGCATAAAAGTAAAAAGAGTTAGCAGAGAATCAGTAGTGAGTAAATACCAAGATCTGACCCAATTGGAAATTTCCTGCCTTAAAAAGAATTGTAAAAACCAACAACTTTGTTTCTTTCTTTTTTCCTTAAAATCAACGAATTCTGAGGTGATTCATGTCGGAAATGGAGACGAAAATGGTTATAAATGGCAGTTAATTAAGAATGGAGGTAACTGGACGATAAGCATGAGAGGATCTACTGAAATGTTCACTGAACTAAATGCAAGGAAGATAACGATGAACAAAAAGACCGCGGAAGAGGCTGCGTTGTGTTAGGGTCAAACTCGTCCATTCACATGCTTCACATATTACATATCTTTTCTCTCTCTAGATTAGTCACAGACATAATTCTCATTATACCCAAAATACCCTTCCTTCTATCTCGAAATTACCTCTTAATTAACCATTTTTTTTAATATATAAAAAAATTATTTGAATCTAATTTTTTATGTGTTTATAAAGTTATTGATAAATTGGATTCTTTTTCCTTATAATTCCTGCCGGTGACGACTGTGATGACGCCGTCAACCCGTTTTAAGGAAGCGCCAAATTCCTATTAATATTTTTAAGAAAATTACAATAATAATTTTATTTCTTTTTCTTTTTTATGCTAAATTATCATAATATCTTCTGTCAAATTGACGACTTTTCTTTTCCTTTTTCTTTTTTTTCTAATATTCCTCTTTGAATTTTATATTTATGAAAAGAATTATAAATATACCTTGTACCCATTATTAAGGAATGTAATATTATAAAGTCGAGCGTTTTCATTGAAAAAACGACATATCGTTACAAAGTCAAATAAATTATAATTATATATATCACATTTAATCACCTGCCTCGTTAAAAATCAAATCACACTAGACACGTATTCCAAATGTGTATTTCAAATATTTTTTTAAAGTAATAATTAGTTATTAATATCCTTAAATCAAAATTATCCTTTATTTGAGTATTAAACATAAAGTGAAAGGAATTTGGTAAAAAGGCCTCGAAAATAAAATTAAATTATTAATACTTTCATAAAGTTTATAAAAGAGATTTGATTCCGTGCATATGAATTTAGGGTTTTATGGATATAACATATATGGATCTTAGTCAAACCTTTTGCGTTGACTCCATTTTGCCACTATTCCACGTGGCACCCCCACATTGCAGCAAAGCCTTTTACCCCTCTTCCACGCCTCCTTGACGATCACGTACCAAAAAAAAAACTCTTTAAAATTTAATTAATTAATTTGTTTGTTTCTTTGAAATATCCGACGGATTTTATATAAATTAATTAAATAAATAAAAAATCTAAATGCTCCAAACTGGCCACGTCATTCTATGGTGTTAACGATGAGATTTCCAAAGACGGCAAAATTGCACGGCCGGACGCCGGACGGAGCCGCCGCGTACGCGTTTTGTGGTATAAAACGTTGTCGTTTAACCGAGTGAAGCACATTGGAGACAAATATTAAGATTTAAATGTATATGCTGGAAAAAGTAATCGCTTTTTATTATTTTTTTTTTTAAACTATATAAATAAAACAATCTTTATGTCGGGTTGTACTTTCATGTAACGATAAAAATACAATAATGCATGTAACGTTTATTAATTGTTTAAGCTTAGAAAAATTCTATGAGGCTCTGTGTCAATGAATTTAATTTAAAAATGAGTATTATTATACTATAAGCTAATTTTTTTAATTATGGGACCATTCAAAGTGGTTGCGTGTAATTATAAAATAATATATCTTTTGTTTATTTATTCATTTAATTTTTGTTCAGGATATTCTAAGGTGGCACTGAAATTGATAATTAAAAATATCCTTATTTTCTTTTATTTATTCGCTTTTAAATGAATTCGGTAACCCTCATTTTCTTATTTCATATAAGTTTCAAATGACTTTTTATTATATGTTTTATATATTTATTCAAATTTACAAACCCAAGAAATTGTCGTAAAAAATTTCATGGTCTTTTTGTGAAGCTTCGAGTTTGAGCTGCCCAACGTTCCAGTTGGATTATTGTTAATAATATTTAATACTAAATTATAGTTTACTAAAATATGATAGGCAAATATATTATTAGCGTGAGTATCTTTACATATATTGTTATTTCCATTTATTACTATTTTCATATTCTTGTAATTTATTTGGTTATAAATAGAGAACTTTCATCCACCATTTAGGTGGGGTGGATTAAGCAAATATTCTCAGTTATTATATTCTGGAAGGGTCCAACGAAAAACTAGTGCATCGATAATAGATATAGAGAAATGCACTACTTAGGGTTAAATTTTCGAAATAGTCATGTCTTATGTAAAATCTCACCTTAATTAAAGAGGAGAACAAAACATTCCTTATAAAGGTGTAGAAACTTCTCCTAGCATACGCATTTTAATTGGTCAAAGTGAACAAATATTTGCTAGCAGTGAACTTGAGCTGTTACAAATGGTATCAGAGTCAAACACCAAATAGTGTACCAGCGAGAATGCTGGCCCACAAGGGGGTGGATTGTGAGATCCCACCTTGGTTGGAGAGGAGAACAAAACATTCCTTACAAGGGTGTGGAAACCTTTTCTCAATAAACGCGTTTTAAAATTGTGAGGTTGACGCGATATATAACGAACTAAAACAGATAATATGTACTAGCGGTGGACTCGGATTGTTATAAATTTGTTTGAATGAGATGGGACCGGGGTAGGCAAATTGCAGGAATGAGGGGTTGGGTGAAGGAATTGGGTGAGGGTTGTAGGGGCCTTATATGTATTGAATGGACGAGATTAAGCCTTCATTCAACTCTCACCATATAATAAAAACTTTCACATTAATGGACTGTGACAATCTTGAATACACATACTAGCTGCACCTTGTTTTATGTCATAAAACATTAAAAAAACGATTGTTAAATGGACCAAATTCTTGATGGTTTCAATTCAAACTACTTCAAATTCCATCTCCATACCTCTGTTTCTTTATTATGTAGGGACCATGAAAGCTATTTTAATTAATACGGAACATGGAGTTTCATTTCATTTATTTCACTCATTTTAAGTAGGAAAACCGGTAGAATGTTGCTTTTAATTGCTTACACTCTCATATCAATAAAAAATTGCTAACTTGTCGAGAACATGTCTGAAGAGAAGGTGGGCTCCCTGTAAATTTACCATCCTACCCACCAATGGACTATGAGGGGATAGGCAAACAGAACCTATCGAGAACACAAACTACTCGACTCACTGACTCCATAATACTCAATTTTATTAGGGTCAAGGATGGATTAAACCAATCATTAGTGCAAGCTGAGAAATAGACCGCTACTTAACGATTAGGACTGTAGCTCAATGGATAGCCCTTCTAACTCATGCTCATGACATTCAAGCTGCTATAAAAAAAATAAAAAAAAAGTGAATATAGTAATAAATAAATAAATAAAAAGTCAAATTAATTAATGATTAATATTAAATGATTAGGTTACATTAATTTAAAAGAGTATACGGTTAGGGGGGAAAACGGAAAAATTAATTAATTTAATTAATTTAATATTGATAAAGCACAATTGGAACTTTTCCTTGAAATAAATAAATAAATACAATTTTCAAACTTAACTAAGTTTTTTAAGTTTGTAGGCAACTGGCAGAATCCCAGCCCGCAACGCCAACTAATTTTATACATAAACAAATTAAAAGGATTTTAAAAATTAAATTATAATTCATTTTTCAACGTCAATTTCTTCGTATTTTATTATATATAATTATTTTAAAAGCAGTTTTGTTGGCATAATTAAAATAATATGATTAAAAATGGCTTGGCTCAAATCTTACCCAAACCATTTGCTGATCTCAAACTGCTTTGGCTTATCTACTTAGTGTAGCTGCTAAATGTCACGATCCATCTCCAAACAATTGCCTTTTTTAATATTTATGTAATTTCATTTTTTTTAAATAAATAAAAATAATACCTTACGTCATTTATTATGCTTATGGCCCAATCCATAGAGCTAAAGCCCACATTTCACGGCCCAGTTGGAATCAGAGCCCAGTGATAGATAAGTGCAGTCGAAGGGGACATCACCATCATGACCTCGTTCCCCGTTTTATGCTTACATTAACGATGGCTTCTCCATCCAATGGCTCATTTTCCTCATCTTGCGTCTTCAACCGGTCGAGTTTTATCAAGACATGAGTGGAAGTAGTAAGCTTGGACACTCGGTGTGCCAGTGAGACGTTGGACTTCGAAGGTGTGGATTATGAAATCCAACTTGATTGGAGAGAGAAATGAGTGCGAGCGAGGACACTGGTTTTAACGTGAGTAGATTGTGAGATCACGCGTTAATTAGAGAGAGTAATTAGTGCTAATGAGGGCTCTGTAATCCAAAGATGGGTGGATTATGAGTATTGGATGAAAGTCCTACGTCCGCTAATTTAGGGAATGATCATGAGTTTATAATTGAGGAATACTATCTCCATTAGTGGCTTAAAGCATAGTCATGAGAGTTTATGCTCAAAGTGGACAATATTATACCGTTGTGGAGAGTCGTGTTCGTCTAACAGTAAGATCGCATATCAATTGGAGAGGGGAAATTAAGATAGGGAAAGAGTGCGCGAGGGCGTTGAGCCTTGAGGGTGAGTGGACAAGTGGACAGTGGAATCCCACGAATGACAACTAAGACGGTGACGATTGTAGAGGAGAATTACCTCTCTGTCTATTTTGAACTATAAAGGCTGTAATGGAATCAACTGCAAAGGATTTAGTCAAATCATATAACGGCTATGTTTTTGTTTTTTCAAAAAGGTTCCAACTTTTCATCTGCCTTCATCCTTGTGGCTCATTGAACTAGGAGGTGTCAGTTACAGAAGTTGATAGATGGAATGTAGACTCCAGAGCCAGCAAAGGGTATGAGGTTTCAGATAAAAGCCTTGCGTCATCTCTTATCATACTCTGCATCTCCACAACACACAGCTCAGAATTCTTCAGAGCTTGCGTTTCCCGACCAATGTTCATAGTGGAACAGGGTTGTCTCCACTCTTTTGTAGTGTCTCAATCCTCTGCTCCCATAGTTTTACTTGTTCGAGATTAGGGTAATCGGCCAGTCAAAACCCCTCCTAATCCCCTGTCTCTACCCACAAGAAAGTGAAAGAACACTCACTTTGTCTCCTCAGATTCCTTTCTTTCCCATTTTTACATGTTTCCTGTGGGTCAGTGTTTGTTTCTTTTGTCAGGATTCTCTTGCCCTGCCTAGAAAATAAGGAACTTTGAGTACTGCCCCCACAGACATACCACATTAAACAGAAGAGCGCATAATCTTTCTCATTCATGGATTCCTCCACCTCCAGAAGACACTTCCACTGGACCCAGAAGGTTGGGAGTCAAGAAGAAGACGATCCATGTCCACTCCCATCCCTCAAGCCCTCCTCCGAGCCCGCCGAGCTGGACCCAGAAGAGATCAAGAAGAAAAAAAACAGAGTCGTCTCTCCAGAGCCCCCACCAACAAGAAGGAAGATGCCAGCCGTAGCAGTTGCGCGGTTGCGTTCTGTTCTCCGGGTTTTTGCTAAAAGTCGGTCGACCCTTTCACCGTGTCTGGGTTCTCGAGTCATCGGAACCCTTTTCGGATCTCGGCGTGGGCATGTGCATTTTGCATTTCAAAGAGACCCCAACTCGGAACCGGCCCTTTTGGTAGAGCTAGCGACGCCTATTGCTGGGTTGGTAAAAGAAATGGCATCTGGGTTAGTCCGAATCGCGTTGGAATGTGATAGAGAGAAAGAAGGGGAAAAGAAAGCAGCGAGGCTGCTAGAAGAGCCTCTCTGGAGGACATTCTGCAATGGCAGGAAGAGTGGTTTTGCTACAAAGAAGGATTGTGGAGCTAAAGAGATGAAAATCCTTAAGGCCGTGGAGCCAATTTCAATGGGTGCAGGTGTTCTTCCAAGAAGCTATGAATCAGAGTCGCCTGAATCTGAAGCCGGTTCCGATGATGAAATCATGTACATGAGAGCCAGATTCGAGAGAATTGTGGGTTCTAAAGATTCGGAAGCTTTCTACATGGTGAACCCAGATAGCAATGGAACTCCTGAACTCAGTATCTATCTGCTTAGAGTCTAATATTAAGGTGCAGCCATGGAAGCTCTGGGTCAAGCCTTGATGGAGCCTAGCTACATTTCTCCATAACCTTTAGGTGGGGGGCCATGAAGGTGTATATGTATATTTTTTTGTTTAGACCTTTATATTTGATAAGACAAGGTGGGTGTTGGAATCAAATGATTGTGTTTGCATTTTGGTTAAGTTTTTGTTCTTGTTTAACAGAGACTCCCCAATCAAGAACAGCATGTTACAGGAGCATTTGGATCAATTGCAGGCAAGTGGTTTTACCATTTGCTCTCCTTCCAAAAATGATACACATAATCTATCCATACTTGTATCATCTTCTTTCATCATGTCATCTGGATCTATCATAGAATGATTTTTTAAGATGAAATGTGAGAAAATTTGAAGAACTGAAGGAATCTGAAGATGGGTGTGGTTGAAAGAAAAGGATCCCATTTGAATCAGAGCTCTCGGCGTTTGTCTGTTTAAAGTGTCAACACAATGAAGAAAACTTGGATCTAGCCCGACTTGTCCTGTGTCACCGTCATACTTGTCAAAGGTGTATTGCTTATGGCGTAAAAAAAACAAGTGTTGTGACAGGTTGCTTGGGTTTTGAACGTGCAACTCACATGCTTAATCCACCATTCATTCAGTGCATTGCTAATTTGGAAAAAATAATATTTAAAAAAAAATCTTGAATGTTAAATTTATTAGACTAGACTTTGTTTTGCAAAAGGCTTCATTCCAATTTAGAAAGTATTATTTGTTTATAAATTTATGATCATTCCTGGACTTTCATCCTCCAACAAAAATTTAAATCAAGACTTTATTATTACCGTTCAAACAGATTTTTTTTTTTTATCATGGATGGTTTTGAATAAAAAAAAAAATTGTTTGAAAATACCTCGTAATTATAATCTTTGAATTGGGGTATTTTAGTAATTTAAGAAATCGAATTAAATGATAAGTTTTGCCATTTATCCAATAAATAGTTTCCAAAAACGTGCCACGTGGAATGAATTGAGGCCCAAAAGCCCATAATTCTATTTAAACAGTCCAAGTTGTCGGCCCAAATGTTCGCCCAGCGAAGTTGTTCAAGTTGTTCAACTCCGGTGGCTTAGGTTTTAGCTGATAAACCCTAGGAAACCTGAGTGGCTTAAATCCCACTTGCTTAGCGAGGTATTGACCTCATCTCTTCACTACTTGTGTTCTAAATTCTAGGGAGATTCATCACCTTGAAGTCAATCCATGGTTGCACTGGACGAGAAAGTTCCCTCTTCATCGGAGGTTGATGCAATGGACAAAAGGCCCAAGAGGAAGAGACCAAAGAAAAATCTTCCTTCAACGGCTGCTGAAGAATCGGAACCTCAAAATCCAATGAAAGCTGAAGAAGAAGGGGAAGGAGATGCTGAAGGTAATGTATCAGAGGAGAAAGTGAAAAAAGGTGAGAAGATGAACAAGAAGAAGAGGAAGACGAAAAAGAAGGGCGAGTTGGAGGAGGAAGGACATGAAACTGCTAATGATGGTGAGGGAGAGGATGGCGTCGATGGGAAAGTTGAGAAGGATGAGGAGAAAGTAAACGAGAAAAAGAAGGTTAAGACTGGTGGCTCAGGAATTATGAGTACAGTTTCATTTGATTCGCTTGAATTGTCGGAGAAAACTCTCCGGGCGATTAAAGACATTGGATTTCAGCATATGACTCAGGTGAGATTTCTGATTAGGCGGTTTTGTTGTCAAATATTCGCGCCATTTTTTTTGTTTGATAGAGAGAGATTTTCTATGTACAATTTACTTTTTGGCGTTCCATGTATTGTTCGGTTGTTTACATCGTTAAGGTAAATGTAGAGATTGAATTCAATTTCAATTAAGGGTAGAACTTTTGCTGATAACTATTTAACCCGAAGTACGCAAGTCGCAAGTACGGGAATGCTGAAAAAAAAAAAATCTAATGATATCCAATGTTTTGATGGTAACTATAAACAATTTGTAATGGGGTAAACTTAACAGTCGAATATGGGTTGGAGTTCTTTTAATGAATCTTGCACTGCTTGTTAGGCTTCTCTTTTAGATGTGGATATGTTGAAACATTGATTTATATCTTTTAGTCGGTTTAAAATGTAGTAGCAAACTAATATATGGACTTGCATAATATCAAATTTTCCTGACCTTATGAATGCAGATTCAAGCCAGAGCAATTCCACCTTTTCTGACTGGCAAAGATGTTCTTGGAGCCGCAAGGACTGGATCCGGGAAAACCCTTGCCTTTCTTATTCCAGCTGTTGAACTACTCCATCACATCAGCTTTACTCCTCGTAATGGAACTGGTGTTATCGTTATTTGCCCAACACGGGAGCTTGCTATGCAGGTTGTAGAATTTTCCGCCTTCTTGCGCGTATTACTATTTAACGTTAGCTATTAATGTCTCCTCATATTGGTGCTGAAGGAGCTTACAATTTTTTTTTTTCAAAAAAGGCTTGATTTTGTATTAGTAGAAAGAAGAATTATAATTATAAAGATAAAAAGTAATTTATGAATCTCAACTCAGATTCATTCTCTAGATCTATCTTCAACAACTCTATTTTTTTTTTTTTTTTATAAATGAAGTAAGATCTTCATTCACGAATGAAAAGTTCCAAGAGTGAAAATAAAAATCTCCCTCTAAGCTTACAACAAACCGACCACAAAAAAAAAAAAAAATTCTTAGAAGGATAATACAAACTCCCCTTTTTTATAAAAACCTATGGCATACGGCTAACCCCAGAAAAGCAAACCCAAACACTCTTTTAATATGCATAAGAAGCAGCTCGATCACTGACAACCTTTTTCTTGTTGTCTTCCTTCAACCTTCCTTACATTCAACTCTCTTGATATTATTACTGACTGACCATTTTCAATAATTCAGACACATGATGTGGCAAAAGAGCTTCTCAAATATCATTCACAGACACTTGGCCTTGTTACTGGTGGTTCTAGCCGACAAGCTGAGGCAGATCGTATTACAAAGGGGGTCAATCTGTTAATAGCAACCCCTGGTCGACTTCTTGACCATCTTCAACATACCAAGAATTTTGTGTTTAAAAATTTGAAGGTAAGATGGGCCAAATTTGCTTGCCATTATTGATGTATTTTGTTGGAAAATATTTTTATCAGTGCCAAGTAAAGATTGAATTCTTGAAATTTTGTTGCTAGCAGCTACCGTCCTGAACTTGTTCCTGCCAGCATGTGGTCTGCTTCTCATGTGCTGTTTTTTTTTTTTTTTTTTTTTTTTTTTTTTTTT